CTCAAAAAAAAAAAAAAAAAAAAAGAGATAGAGAGATAGAGACCCTGTTTCATTCTTGTGGCTATCCAATTTTACCAGCACCATTTATTGAGTGGGGCTTCCATTCTCCAGTGTATATTGTTTTGATCTTTGCTTTGTTAAAATTAGTTGACTGGATGGGTAATGTTTTGTATCTCAGTGCTCTCTTCTTTTCCATTGATCTTTGTCTCTTATTTTATGTGCCAAGGCCATACTGTTTTGGTTACTGTAGCCTTGTGGAATAGTTTGAGGTCTGGTAACGTGATGTCTCCAGATTTGCTCTTTTTGTTTAGGATTGCTTTGGCAGTCTCTCAGCTTGATTGCCCTTAGCATATAGGAATGCTGTTGATTTGTGTTTGATTTTGTAACCTGAGACTTTGCTGAGTTTATCAATTCCAGGTGTTTCTTTCTCTCTCTCTCTCTTCTTTTTTTTTTTGTAGAGACAGAGTCTCACTTTGTTGCTCGGTAGAGTACCGTGGCGTCACACAGCTCATAGCAACCTTCAACTCCTGGGCTTAGGTGATTCTCTTGCCTCAGCCTCCCGAGTAGCTGGGACTACAGGCGCCTGCCACAACACCTCTGGTTATTTTTTTTTTAATTGCTGTTTGGCCGGGGCTGGGTTTGAACCCGCCGCCCTCAGCATACGGGGCTGGCGCCCCACCCACTGAGCCACAGATGCCGCCCCTCCAGGAGTTTCTTGATGGAGTTTTCTAGATATAAGATCATATTGTCAGCTTAGATGAATTTTTATACTGCTTATTATGATATCATCTAACACATTGAAAAGTAAATAACTCCAACATGCAAGAGACAAGTTTTTATTCAGACTGCAGTGCTTAGGTGCATGCACTCAGAGATTAGTCTGGCCACAACTGGGGCCAACACCCCAGGACCAATTCACAGTGCAGATGGAGTGGGCAGACTGCTTGTCACGGCTCCTGTGCTCTGCTGGAGTTGATACCTTCCTGGAATCTGGGTTTGCACACAGAGCCTCCTAGTCGTAAAGAGTGGCAGTTTATATAGGTTTTAGATAAAACTATCTCATGGGTAAAAATGAAGCATCCGGATCTCTGTGAGCTAGGCAAGGCACTGGTCTGGCTGCAGGCTGTACCTCCTTTCATTCTTTCCCTTCTCCCAAACTGTTTCTTCTACAGTGAAAGTTTCCTTAAAACTGAATATCCCAAGGGAAAGAATAAGCTTACTTGTGTGTGTCTTACAGGATGCTTAAATGGCAGAGGCCAAGCCGAGACCCAGGACGGGCACGTGGACAAGGCCCTGCTGCGGCAGATGGAAGGTATCTACTCTGATATCCCTGTGCGGCCCCCAGAGACAAGTGCAAACGTGCAGGAGTTGTACCAGCAGTGGTTAGATGGAGTCGACTCCCCTAAAGCCCAGGAGACACTGCATACCACGTTCCAGAGCCCTGAGCATTGTGCACATAGCCTGGACATCAGGTGGTAAAGGGCACAGGGCAGGCCATCCAGCTGTCTTGGCCAGGGCAACTCTGTGTAGGACGAGGGTACTGCTGTGAATGTGGAGTATTAAAGACATTTAAAGAAAACAACTCAGTGGGTTACTCCGGCTCTCAGAGTGCTCTGCTCTACTGTATTTTGAAGGCCCTCACACAATTTAATGTGGTGCTGTCTTTATAATGTGCAGGAGACTGCATGGTCTTGACGTGAGAGGGGGACTTTCCCAACCTAAGTATCCTTTTATTTGAAGATCATGTGAAAAAAATCCTAAAGAGTGAGAACAGCCAGGTTACTGCTTTTTGGGTTTAGGGGCTAAGATTGCCCAGAGGCCCCAGTTTATATGGCTCCCAGGTCACGTGACATAGAAACAAGGACAGAGGCAAAGGCTGGGTCCAGGGACACTTGCCAGGTTTCCTATCTATCCTGGGTCTTATTTTTACCCACTTATGTTACCCTTCTAAAGGTTTTTGCTGGAATGTGAATAAACTGCCAAGTTTTTACATAGAATTAGGAGACTCAGAAATGTGGATTTCCAGCTTTTTTTTTTTTTTTTTTTTTTTGAGACAGAGCCTCAAGCTGTCCCCCTGGGTAGAATACTGTGGCACCACAGCTCACAGCAACCTCCAACTCCTGGGCTCAAGCAAGTCTCTTGCCTCAGCCTCCCAAGTAGCTGGGACCACAGACACCTGCCACAACGCCTGGCTATTTTTTGGTTGCAGTCATCGTTGTTTGGCGGGCCCAGGCTGGATTCAAACCCACCACCTTAGGTGTATGTGGCTGGCGTCGAGCCGATTTCCAGCTTTTTTTGAAAAAATTTATAAGTTCTGGCAGCAGTGGGCCACTTTCCTCACAGTCCATCTAATGACAGCCCCATTGCCTCATGCACATCTGTCTGAGCTGGACAGACAAGCATGATGAACACCGCAGACAGTGCATACTCAGAGCACCGCCACACGGGCTCCTTGTCAGTGCTATCAGGGTCAGGGATAGGGATAACGAGGCTCTGCTGGCCCTGGCATAAGAGAGAGCTTTCCAAGGGTCTGCCTCCCTTGAGTACTTTCCTCTTGTCCTCAGACAGGATTTTCTTCCCACACAAGTGGAACTGTTCAGTTCACTCACTCCACCAGGCCTCTGCTCAGTTGATGGGGTTCCGGTTCTGCACTGTGCCACTGGTGTGAACTGGCATTAAAAATAATGGAGAGGCCAGGCTTGGTGGCTGTAATCCAGCACTCTGGGATGCTGAGGCAGGTAGATTGCTTGAGCTCAGGAGTATGAGACCAGGCTGAGGAAAAGTGAGACCCTGTCTCTACTAAAAATACAAAAATTAGCCAAGTGTCATGGCAGATGCTTATAGGCCCAGCTACTTGGGATGCTGAGGTAAGAGGATCAATTGAACTATCCTTTTTTTTTTTTTTTTTATAAAGACAGAGTTTCACTTTATTGTCCTCGGTATAGTGCCATGGCATCACACAGTTCACAGCAACCTCCAACTCCTGGGCTTAAGCGATTCTCTTGCCTCCGCATCCCAAGTAGCTGGGACTACAGGTGCCCTCCACAATGCCTGGCTATATTTGAGCTATCCTTGAGAGAGAGATTGAGGTTGCTGTGAGCTGTGATGATGCCATGATAGCTGTGAGCTATGAGCCTAGAACAACAGAGTGTTCCTGTGTCTGAAAAAAATAATAAAACAGTTGTTCAAGGCCAGATACAGTGTGGCTCATACCTATAACTGCAGTACTTTGGGAGGCTGAGGGGGGTGGATTGTTTTGAGCTCAGGAGTTCAAGACCAGCCTGAGCCAGGGTGATACCCCATCTCTAAAAATAGCCAGGCATTGTGGCAGGCACCTATATTCCCAGCTACTTAGGAGGTTGAGGCAAGAGAATTGCTTGAACCTAAGAGTTTGAGGTTGCTGTGAGCTGTGATGCTACAGCACTCTTAAACCAACATCAACAAAGTGAGACACTGTCTAAAAAAAACAAACAAAAAGCCTCATGTGGTGGCTAACACCTGTAATCCCAGCACTTGGGAGGCTGAGGTGGGTGGATTGCCTGAGCTCACAGGTTAGAAACCAGCCTGAGCCAGAGCAAGAGGCCCTGTCTCTAAAAAAATAGCCAGGCATTGTAGCGGGTGCCTGAGGCAAGAAGATCACTTGAACCCCAAGAGTTTGAGGTAGCTATGAGTTAAGATACCATGGCACTCTACCATGGGTGACCAAGTGAGACTCTGTCTCAAAAAAAAAAAGTAAAACTAGCCAGGTTCCTATAGTTCCAGGTGCGCAGGAGGCTAAGGCAGGAGGCTCAATTGAGTCCAAGAGTTTCAGGTTGCTGTGAACTATGAAGCTACAGTATTCGACCCAGGGTGACAGTAAGGCTTTGTCTCAAGGAGAAAAAAAGAAACTAGTTTATCCACAAAAGGTTGGCAGACCACTGACAATCTGCAGAATGGTCTTAACTGTACCCTAGGGTTCGTCTCAGGGAAAGGATGAAGTCAGGAGGCCTGATGGGCCAGGGGGTAGCTTTATGAAGCCCTGGAGTTTGGCTAGTGCTAGTGGTGACCTTCCTGGTCAGTGCCACAAAGCCCTGCATGACAGATGGCCTTCATCTATTCATGTGGCTTACCTGTGTACCTG